TCCCGGCCCGCCCCTCACTCCGCCTCCCGCCCCCAGGCCCCACTCCCTCCGGCCTCCCCGGCCCGCCTCGCCTCCCCTGCCTCCCTCTGCCCCAGGACGCGGCGCTCCCCGATCCCCGGTCCGAGTCCCTGAGCTGCAGAACCGGCTGTTCCGCGGAGGGAGGAAAACGCTGCAGGAAGGGCCAGGCTCCGGTGAGAGAATACTGCTGGCAGCCGCGAGGTGGAGGGACAGGAGCTCGCGAACGTCGCGTGGGCGTCCCTGGTGCAGCCTCCGCGGCGCCTAGCGCTGCCCCAGGCCAGGCCGCCCGTGAGCGGTCAGCATCGCGCCCGCCTGGAGCAGGCCGCGGCCCGGCTGCCTGTAGGACTGCAGTGTCCCGTAGCGGCAGGGCCGGCTTCGAACTGGGACCTTGGGCTCCCCGCCCTCCCTCCCTCCGCCCTGGGACCAGTAGTCCGTGCAGGTCATTCCCAAGGCTGGTAACAGCTGTGTCCCCCAGCCGATCAGTTAGTGCCAACCAGAGGGGTCAGTGCAGGGAGGACTGTGGCCCTGTGTCGCCTGTGCTGCTGGCCCAAGGGGACAGTGTGGCCAGGCGGGGCAGGGTGGCAGCCTTAACTGTGACACTTACCCTGGGGGAGGCCGGCCACTGTCTTGTGGGGACACTCAGGTGGCAGATGCCCGCCAGTCAACCTTCAGACACCTGGACCCGTGGCCACAGCTGCCGGGCCCTGATGCAGTGAGAGTGCAACTCCAGCCCTCCGATTTCCGGTCCACAGAAATCACAGGGGTTGGTTGTTTTGAACGTCTGCCTTTCAGGGTAACTCAGGCTGCAGTGGGTAACGTACAGCTGCCTCTGCAGTCACCCCAGGGCGGCACCTCGCTTAGAACCTCTGAGTGAGTTCATACCTGGGAAGCAGTCAAGGTTCGGCCAGTGCCTGGTGACCATTCAGTAAGCCTCAGTGTTGTGGCCCTGGTTTTTTTTATTCTTATTCTCATTTCTCTTCCAAGGAACCTAAGCCTGGGGCTAGCCACGTGGCCTAGTGGTTAAGGGAGCCAGATCCCACCTGGCTGGCTGTGGCTTGAATCCTGGCCCCAGTGGCTTCAGACACATGTGCATACATGTTCAAAGCCCAGCAGGACCATGGCCCACGGGTGCTCTCTCCCTCTCCCTGTCTCCCTGCAAGTGCGTGGGTGTTCTGGTAATTAAAACGTCATAATGATAAAAGAACAAAGACCTTAAGACCCAGATATTTCAGACTTAAAACAAACAAAAACAAGCTTTACAATTTGAAGATGAGTAGGATCGTGTTGGAACTAGCCAGGGGGTGAGCGGGACAGGGACACCAGAAGGGTTCAGGCAAAGCTTTACCTGGAAAATGTAGACTGGGCCAGCCCCCGGCCTAGGGTTCTGGGAGCCAGATCCCACATGGCCCACTACACAGCCACATCCTGGCCCCACACCTGCAGGGCCATGCCAGGTGTGTGTGTGAGTGCCTGGCTCCTGACTGGATGCAGAGGAGAAGGGACCGGCCTGACTGCCTGCAGGTGCTTTCTCCCCGCCTCTCTGGTGAACACGTGTGTCCTCTGGCAAGAAAAGAAAAGGAGGGAAGGGAGAAAGGGGCTTGATGTGGCAGCCTCTAAGGTGGCCCAGCGACCCACCTCCAGACCACCAAGCTCTTGTGCAAGCCCCTCCGTGTGGCTGGACCTAGTGACTCAATTCTAGCAAATCAAGTATGACAAAAATGGCAGGATGTTGCTTCCAAGATTAGGATCCACGAAGATAGTGGCCCCCATCCTTGTGCACGTGGTCACTCTCTCTGCCCAGCGGCCACGTTGCGAACTGCCCCGTGGACACGGCAAAGGACTGTAAAGGGCCCCAACCCACAGCTGGGAAGGACTCGGGCTTTAGTCCCACAGCCACGAAAGACTGAATCCCAGCAACAACCACATAATGACCGCACGGCAGATCTTCCTCAGTCATGCCGTCTGAACAGCCCCCGACATGGGTACCGTTGGTACCACTGTCCTCATAGACGGGGTCTGAGGTTCAGAGATTCAAGTGCCTGGCCCAAAACAACCCAGTGACTAAGACTTAGAGGCACCCTTCAGATTCCAAAAGGTCCCCACGATGCCCCACCAAGTCTGTCTGCTGCCCACACAGCAGGACGACCCCCAGTAGGGCCTAAGGCCCCTCTCCACACGGCCTCCTGCCGCCAGGAGCAATGCCCTGCAGGCCCGGCCTTCCCTGGCCCAGCAGGAAACTCGACCTGCATTTCAGACTCACTACAGGGAAGAGCGCTGCGGCGGCAGAGTGACCACCGACTGCGGGTCAGAGTGAGCATGGGACAGCCAGGGTTAGGTGAGACTGTACACGGGCAGACAGGAGGCCTCCACCCCTCCTCGAGAGAGCACCCCAGCGAGCGGGCTTTCCACGGCCTGGCCTGGGTTGCAGGCGCTCACGGCCCAAGGGCCCAGGGACATGACTGACCCGGAACCCAGAGCCTCCCACTGCCACGTAGCCAGGCTTACAGAACACCACACCCCACCAGGCCCAGGGAAGCAGCATCCGAATGAGCACCTTCTCAGGGCGGTGGCTGCAAAGTGCTACATTTCGTGCCTGGCTCACAGGGAGGGCACCTGGCTGTCTCACAGGGCTCCGGGACAGAATCCTCACTGGGTGAGTGCGAACAGGAGCTGCGCAGGGTCAGCAGGGACTGTGGGCCATCCCGATCGCTAAGGGCAGGGCCCTTTCCTCCGCATCTCCATCTGACCAGTTCCGCCCACGGCCCTCTGGATCTTGTGTTGCGGGCACCTGCGTGGATCGACAGGAAAGTGGTTTTAATGGCATAACTTCAGCATCACAAATGCACCACAGGGTCGGGAAGACGGGAATAAAAGATATGGAAAGAAAGAAGCCAGCCTTTCAGACGATGTGAACACCCAGCGCTGGGTAAGGCCACCGCATGGAGAGGCCAGTGACCAGCTAGCGAGCCCCAGCCGACCACACCCCAGAGTCACACGTGGAGCAGAGGGTCCCGGCTGCCGGTGTGAGTGCCTCCCTGAGGGTGGCCCCTCCGCAAGCAGGGAGCAAGCAGTCCCAGGGCACTCTGGGAGGTGAGAGGTTCGCACTTCCTCAGAGCTGCTGGGACTTGTCCTGCCCCTGAAATGCCCCTTTCACAGCTACGGAGCGCACACCCGCTGGCTCCTGTGGACACTTCCTTGAGCTAGGTTCTTGGCTCGACCGATTTTAACGTTTCCAAGTTTAATTTCAGGCGCTGTTTGATCGCCCAATCTGGGACTGATGTATGGTTGTGATTCACCTTGGGGGGCGTATTTTATTGAACTTTCAGTGAATTCCCTCACGCAGTGTAGGAAGGAGTGGGAGACCGAGAAGGGACATTATTTTACTCTACGGGATCCTTCGGCGTAAGTGGAGAAAACGTGGCAGAATTACAGCTGCTGTTTGCTGTCAGTGCCCATAGCAGCTCCTTAGAAAGAGCCGGAGCGGGTCTGAGCGGGTCCGCCACATCATCCACAGCATCTGGTCTGAGCCTGGGCTCGTGTCCTCAACTCCCCATGTCGTCAGTCACCGTGACTCTTGGGTTCTACCTCTTGGTGCCACTGACCCCAACCTGCCTCTCCTTCCCTCCTGCTCCGCCCTGGCGCAGACCCCTGTGTTCATTCCTCCACCTGGGTTGCTTCACCCTCTCCTAAGCAGCCTGCTTGGGTCTTACCTCGTCCGCATCGATCAACCTAAAACCTCTTGGGTTCCCCGTGGCCCCACGGATGCTCAGACTTCTCAGCTTGGCTGTGCATGTCCTCCCTGAGCTGCCACCGAGGCTGGTGATCACAGGTTTGGGGGCAGAGGAGGAGGTGCTGGGTCAGGTTGGAGGGTGGGCAGGAGGCCTCGAGCAGGCCAAGCTGTCCAGTCACCACCCCGAGCAGCAGGGTCACAGACATCCTGGGTTGGGAGGGCATGGTGAAGCCGGTGCACCTATGGTGAGAGCTGGTTAGTGGTCAGTGCACCGCTCTCGGGGACCAACCCACGGTTATAACTAGTGTCACTATTCCTAACTCCTGCTCACCACACTTCTTCCGAGAAGCCCTCCAAGAGTCCTCGTGGCTGACCTGAGCCGCGTGCCTGTATTTCCCTGCCGTGGGGACTCGTAGCTGGGTCTCCGCTGTCTATTAATGGCTGTTTCATCAAAGCGTAGCTCGCCCTCACCGGGCTGCGGTGACATGGGATGGGGTGGTTCCTCAGGTCACTCTGCACTGGACTCCCATGGCCTCTGCTCAGTCACCACCACCTCACAGCTCCGAGAAATGGAGGGTCAGGCCCAGGGTCCTGCAGACACCAGGATCACAGCCACCACTGCCCCGGGTCTCAAATTGAATCTCATCACAGCAGGGAAACTGGAGGAGGGCAGGGCAGAAACATCTCGATGCAGCCTCCCGAGGGCAGGGAGGAGACACCCCATGAGCCTCCCGAGGGCAGGGTGGTGGCTCTCAGAGCTGCGGGAGGTGTCGCAGAGAAGGCATGGGATGTTCAGTGAGGACCGAGGTAGCCA